TTCGCATAATGATGTTTGGAACCTTGCTTCACTTAACAATGACAGTTTTAGGTCCCCTGTTTCGCTTAACGTTTTTTTTGACAGCCCTGTTTTTGCTATTTCAAAAATATTCTAAAATGTTTAAAAAATGTTTAAAATGCTTGGAATCATTAGTGCACCTAATAAAATCTTCGTTAAAGTAATTTGGCTTCGTTCTGAGTCTTTTTGAATTTTTGGTGATTTTTTTTCACCATTGAAATGTATTGAATAGGCTCCTATTGGAACGAATTAACCGGTTTTCAATGCATTCCTATGGGAAATGGTGTTTCGCTTAACAATGTTTTCACATAACGATGTTTTTAATGGAACCAAAAGTAAGAGTAACCTGTTGTGAAGAACACTGTATACTGTAATGGTAGTGAAAAGTAAATATATTGATTACACCTCATTTCGCGTTTATGTTCCACTCGTTTGCATATAGATGAGAGTGCATATGAGACACAGATAATAAAAATTGGAGGAATCATAAGAGAAAAAGACTAGAACAACCATCTCAGCATTATTTGCTACTCTTTTTTTCTTGGAATAAATATTGAAAACAAGAATGAAAACTGTACTTTAAATGCCTCTTAAACTGCCCAAAACTGAAAATGCTATGCGCCCCAACAATATTCCCACATTATATTACATTTCAAAGTGAGCTTTTGTTACAACTTTGCTACAAAGAAAACCAAAAACAAATCCTAAAAGAGCCTCGTTGCGCAGTGGTTAAACCAAAGCTGCGCTCATGACCTGGGGTTCAGGCCCAGGTAGCCGGCTCAAGGTTGACTCAGCCTTCTATCCTTCCGAGGTCGGTAAAATGAGTACCCAGCTTGCTGGGGGGGGGGGCAATGTGTAGCCTGCATAATTAACTTGTAAACCACCCAGAGTGTCGTTTGCTTTGCTAATTACAGATAGCTAAGCTATTCATAAGCTGGCTGGATAACTCAGTATGTGGCTGCAGAACCAGAGCCAGTTCAATTCCCTGCTGTGTCTCCCTGGAGAACAGCGAGCCTGTTTAGCTGTGGGCAAGTTGTACAGTGTGCAGGGCGCCCCCAGAAGAAGGGAATGGAAACTACTACTGTGTGTTCTCTATCTAGGAAACCCTAGAAAGAGTTGACATAAGTCAGAACTGACAAGACAGCATGCAGCTACTAAGTTATTCATAAACTGTTAATTCCAAGCTCTGTTGCATGAATATTCAACTTTACCTAACCTTTTGCATATTATGACTCCCCTGGTGCTCTCTCAAGAAACTTAAATTCCTCCATGACAGAATCAAAAACCCAACTTTTGATAGATTTAATGATACTTTAAAGGTATTCTGTTATTATATTTATTATTCAACAGTGAATTGGTTAGGTTCTTCTTGGTCAGGTTCTCTCTTGATTAGACCAAAGATTACACGTGTAGTGTTCTGACACTATTCTCCTTTCTAACACTTTTTTCAAACTCCCTGTTTCCAGATACAGTACTTGAATGAGTCAGTCTTTTACATGTTTTATGCAGCACTTCACCATGTACCTATTTTCTTAACCCACCCCTAACTTGCTGGCATTTTAACACACCTACATTTTCTTCCTTTTCATGCATGTTTTATTCCTAGAGGATAACTGTGTTTGTTGTAACAAAACCGGCAAAGAGTCTTGTGGCACCTTGAAGTCTTAGGTCTTACCTGGCACACACTTTCATGAACTATACCTGCTTCTTCAGCTGAAAGGTCATGCTAAATAAAACATGCTAGTCTTTAAGGTGTCAAACAATTTTATATGTTTTGGTTTATTTAGACTGCAGACAGTTTTTTCTGTTTTACATGCACGTTATAGAGCATGCTTCATTTAGCAATTTATGAAATAAAGAATATTATTATACTACTTTTCAACAAGCAAGTTGAAAATTTTAGTTATCAGTACATTCTTCATCAAAGGAAGCAGATGATCATTTTCTGCATTATTGAATTGAAGAGCCACTCATCCATCTGCCACTTTTTGGTCATATATACAAAATCATTCTCTTTTACTCCAGATCATTAACTCCAGAAGTTCTATAGAAAGCAGATGATCATTTTCCTGCATTATTGAATTGAAGAGCCACTTATCCATCTGGCACTTTTTGGTCATATATACAAAATCATGCTCTTTTATTCCAGATCATTAACTCCAGAAGTTCTATAGTACCTGTAATATTTATCCTCATAGTCACTAATACAGACACCTTTCATGTAAACATGTACAGTAAGTCTATATTTTACACAAGGGGGTGATGAAAATCTGTCAAAGAATAACAAACATACCTTAAGCAGTTGCTTACCATTTTTAATTGTTCTCTCTTATAAAATGGTATGTGGCAGAAAGACTGCCATAGCTGACAATACATTCTGAAGCCAACAATCTTAGAAAAGCTTCTCATGAGCCATCAGCACAAATTATATTCAGCTCAGTTTGTGACGCATGAAACCAAACTCTCACTACCAGCCCCATATGGCTTAACAGAGCTTCCCCTTTACGTCTGCCTTGTCTAGCAAGAACTGGACAATGCTCATGTCAGGAAAATAGCACCTATTTGGCAGACTAGATATGTAGATCACAACTCTAAGCATATACTGTATGTGACTAAATGTAAAGGAGGACAGGGCTTGTCTACATGCACGGCTCACAGACAAAAATGCATTTCAATAGCACAGACAAACTGTGCTACTAAAACCTTTTCTTCAGCACCTATTTGGCAGACTAGACATCTAGATCACAACTCTAAGCATATATATACATGTGATTAAATGTAAAGGAGGACAAGGCTAGTCTACATGCAGGGCTCACAGACAAAAATGCATTTCAGTAGCATAGACAAACTGTGCTACTAAAACCTTTTCTTATATACAGCTTTCAGACATACAGGAGCACTGCTTTGTTTTGCATCTAGTCAACCTAAGAAGACCTTGAGGTCCACAAGCTTCTCCTTCAATGGCACATTAGTAGCAAGTGAACCTCTGGAAATATTTGAGAGGATTGTATGATTTTACTGTATGCTTGCTAGTATGATGATAGGGAGACTCTCCATGCTGTGTGACTGATGCATTTGGCAAACTCCTACACTTTACACTTACAGTTTCAAATCACTTCTGTGTACCAATTCACAGTGGCTTCTGAATGGCTGCAGTAATGTGTCGGAGTATGTACCTATTATCATGTTCAGCACTCTCATAGTGATACATGTTATAAATGCTTCTCAAGTTGCCTTTTATCACCTTTGGTTGATTGCCCAGCTGCACTCCTACTTGGATGCTGTGGTTTGCAAAAAGGAACAAATGTTTATTTATTTATTTTATTTATATCTCCCCTATCTGGTCAATTACGACCACTCTAGTTGGATAAGAAATGTTTAACAACAGTGATTCATGCACTGGTAATTTCTAGAACAGACTACTGTGACACTTTCTACATAGAGCTGCCCTTGAGGTTGGTATGGAAACTTCAGTAGGTTCAAAATATGGCAGCCAGACTGATTAAAGGTAAAAGGAGATACAGTATTAACACAGATCCCCAGTCTCCGCATGCCTTCACTAGCTCACTGTTAGCTTCCATGCTCAATTTAAGGTGTTGATCATAAACTATAAAGCCCTTATCGGCTTAGGACCTTGATATTTAGTAGAACATCTCTTGCACAAAATTGCTACCCACCCCATCTGCTCCTCACAGTCATTGATGTTATAAACCAGGGGTCAGGGAACTTTTTTACAAAAAATAAAATGAAAACCCAACAGTAGGAACTAAGCTTTCTCAGCTGTGGCCCCTTCCCTGTAGAATAAGCTTCCTACAGCAGTTCCCCAAAGCGCCAACCCTTTCTGGTTTTAGGAATCTGATTAAGACAGAATTATATAATCCTGCCTTCCACTAGTGTGAATATTGCTGAGATATTTAAACAGGTTTTAAATTGTGGGTTCCTATGTGTTTTAGATAGTGGCATAGTTCACTGTATTTTTATTGTATTTGCCACACGGTGTTTTTATTGCATGATTTTATTCAACTAAAAACATGGCTTTACATCCAGATATTTGCCACATGGTGTTTTTATTGCATGATTTTATTCAACTAAAAACATGGCTTTACATCCAGACCTTCCCTCTTGTCAGCATTTAACTTCCTTTCTCTTGGTTATCTATCATTTATTATCTTTGGAATATTTTGTTACCAATTATGTCAATGGATTTATATTATTTTAATTGTATATGTTTGTTGTTGGAACGATAACACTAATGGGAGAAATAAATAAAATGCAGAGTGGAATATTTCTTCTCTGGCCAAGGATTTTTTTCCTGCTGAATACACATGCCAGTTCCTTGACTAAAGCTATACATGGATTTATATTATTTTAATTGTATATGTTTGTTGTTAGCCGTCCAGAGTGGTAGAATATACCAGATGGGCGGGGTATAAATCAAATAAAGAAATAAATAAATTGTATATTGTGAACCACCCAGGGACCGATAACACTAATGGGGAAATAAATAAAATCCAGAGTGGAAGATTTCTTCTCTGGCCAAGGATCTTTTTTCCTGCTGGATGCACATGCCAGTTCCTTGACTAAAGCTATACTCCCATTAATTTTTCTCCACCTCCTCCTAGATTTCTGTTCAAGCGTGCTAGCCTTGGGTCAATTATTAAAATAGGTCTTTAAACCAGTACCACCCTTGTGTTTATCTAAGCAGATAGGGTTAATGCGTGGAAAATTCCCCCTGCCTCCCTCGGTGTGCTTACGTTTAATGTGTATGGCACTGGAATTATGTCCAAAGCAAGGAAAGCATTCATGATAGTTCGGGAGAGATATTTTTAAAACAGGGATGCAAAGGGGAAGCCTTTTAGATGAACCACTCCGTCGCCAAACCAGGTGCTGCTGTCCCCTGGGGTCGCCTTCACGTTCCCTCCCATATGGATGTTCTCCGGCTCTCCCGCTTTTCTCCTCAGATTTGCTACGGCCGGACTCACCATTTCTGCACCGGGGACTCCTCGCCCCTCGTCCTTTCCTCCTCCTTCGGCGGCTGCAGTCGCGGGGCGGGCCCCGACCACCGTGCAGGAGCAAGCCGGGGCCCCCCAGCCTAGCTGTCACCCTCGACCTGGAAGTGAATTTATCTCAGGTCAGCCGGCGTTAAACACACACACACCCCACCAAAACACCCACACAGCCTAGCTGCGGCTTCCCTTAAAGGAGACGCGTTCAGACGGCTGGGAGGCAGGCTTCTTTAGTTCCGGAGCAAAACCGAAACTGCTGGAAACCCGGAGAGGTGCCTACTCGGAAGGAAGTCCCGCTGAACTCTGTGGAGCCTACTCCTCGGCATGTGGCTAGAGGGCTGCTGCGTGGCTGGCAGATGGCAACTCTTTTGACTTCCAGGATCATGCTTCAGCCGAAACTTGTAATGTCACAAGGAAGCAAAGAAGAGAGTGCCCCTGAGCCTGCACAGAGTGCCTGTCTTCTCTTACGAATGAATAACCCACAGCCCAGAAATTCTTAGTCAAATGGAAACATGCCGGTTTTTGAACCCCGACACCACCGTTCGCTCACAAAAGTTGTGCTTTGAACATCTGCAGAAGACTTTCCCACTAAACGGTTTATAATTGATAAATTTCAGACAAATTTTACGACGCATACCACCCACGTCACAGCAAATAAGGTTGGTGGTCTATTAAAAATAAAATATAGGAAGTTTCGATAACAGAACGAAAGAAACTAAAGCTGTTTAGAAAAGTAGAAGCATTGAAGGACAGAAAGATACGACAGGCTTTTCTTACATCATACATGACTATGGGACCACACAGTAAATCCCATCGCCCAGCAGCTCCGTAATTACAGTACAGTATAAGGGAAAACAGGACATCTGCCGTTAGCACTTTTCCATTCACACGTGCGTGGGAGAGGCTCATCTTTCCTGCTAACGTGACAAGTAGTGTGAACCGTGTGAGGAAACCCAAACGTTTTAGTATCTTTATTGGAACCTGTTCACATGTCACACACACAGGCACACCGAGCAGTTCGGTTTCTTTGGAATTCTCCAACACAGTGGAGAATTTTCTGCACCTTTTCCTAACTGGAGATTCCAACGGGTGCAAAACCGAGATAAATATGCGCAAGACAGCTCAGCTACCCCCCCCCGGGGCTGCTTCCTGGTACGAGGACCTACAGCACCATTCGCTGAGCGCGTTGCCGCTTTAAAAACTGCGATGCCCCCTCCCACGTTCTAAGTTTTCCCCCATAGAGGAGCAGAGCGGAAGTGGCTTGTCCACCGCCTTGATTGTGTCCGCCGCTGACTTCCGGCTACAGCAAGCTTTTTTCACCTTGCGGAGGGAAACGAGGTGTCCAGTGGTGTTTTTACCTTCTTTGATGAGAAATGGCTGGATTGGTCAATTTCGAAGATGAAGAGGAATTGAAAACTTACTTGGAGAATGTGGGTATAGAGTATAGTTTCCAGTGCCACAAGGAGAAAGATCCTGAAGGTAAGGTGGGAGTCGGTGGGTAAGTTCACAATGTCTGGCCACTGTGTTGCGTTTGTTTCAGGACTGAAAACATTACCTTGCTTCCCGAAACACTTGGTGGGACGTCAGCCCCGGGAAGAACACAGTCATTTTCTAGGAGTAACGGCTGCTGAACTCAACGGTACAGTCGGATACCCATAAAGAAAATTGGGGCGTTACGTAATTTAGAAGGGTTTGGTTTGGGGTAAATACTGTATATCTAAGACAAGGCTGCAAAAACACTTAATGGTTCAGGATTGTCACTTTTTGGTCTAGCAGAGCTGATTTAAACTGTTGCATTACACAACGACCTTGAAACAATTAGAACAATCTCAAATTAACCAATGAAACCTCCCCTTTAAGTGCTGAACGTTTTAATATACAGTAATACTTATTTAATTCATTTTTAATATTTGTATGCTTATTGTTTTTAGCTTTTAAATACTGTTTTACTGATGTAAGCCACCTTGGGTCCTTTTGAGGAGGAAGGTGGGATAGAAATTTTTAAAATAAATAAAAAAGTAAAGGAAGTGCTGTACTGCCACTTAAGACCTCAGTATTTGTTACAAATTGTGTTTGTAACACTTCTGTGTTTTGAGCAGACATTCATTCTCTTTATTGTCTCTGGTGTTTGGCTAAAGGATAGGTCACACAAAGGAAAGCAGGTATTCCCCTCCTTTTTTGTTTGATTGTTTTTTACTGCTCTATATGATTTAAATCAAACAAACAAATTAATAAATAAATTTGATGGTACACAGTGATGTGTTAGAACGTTTTAATATACAGTAATACTTATTTAATTCATTTTTAATATTTGTATGCTTACTGTTTTTAGCTTTTAAATACTGTTTTACTGATGTAAGCCACCTTGGGTCCTTTTGAGGAGGAAGGTGGGATAGAAATTTTTAAAATAAATAAAAAAGTAAAGGAAGTGCTATACTGTACTGCCACTTAAGACCTCAGTATTTGTTACAAATTGTGTTTGTAACACTTCTGTGTTTTGAGCAGACATTCATTCTCTATTGTCTCTGGTGTTTGGCTAAAGGATAGGTCACACAAAGGAAAGCAGGTATTCCCCTCCTTTTTGTTTGATTGTTTTTTACTGCTCTATATAATTTAAATCAAACAAATAAATAAATAAATTTGATGGTACATAGTGATGTGTTCTCTCTCCCTTCAGCTGCAGGAAAGAAGAAAAAAACATTTTATGTCCTTTGGAGTTACTTTTTTGGTGAACTACTTAGAATTGTATAAGTGGTATGATAATTCCAAGTCTCTCAGTAAATAAAGAGTGACTACAACTGTATCTAAATATAGTTACCCTAAGAAGTTTGGTAGGGATTGATAGGCTTTCAAGTAGTATTCAGGATTCTGTACAACTTCCTTGGAACTTATAGATAAATTTATTTGTTACTTTTATATCTTACCTTTCTTTCAGTTAGATCAATGTGGCATACATTGTTCCCTTCCTCCCCAGTGGATCCCCACAATAAGCCCAAGTGTGTGTGACTGTCTTAAGAACACCCAATGAGTTTCATGGGTGAGTGGGGGGATTTGAACCCAGGCCTTCGAAATCATGTTCAAGTACTCTATGATATATTGGCTCTGTTATGTAATGGAAACACTATTGGACATATCAGTATCCCTCTAAACTATATACAATAGTTACTGCTACCTTAGAATGTTGTATCTTGACTTAATAAGCTGAAATATGAACATGCTTTTTGCCACGCATGTAACCCATATACTCCTTTTTTAGTGAAGCTGACAGTTTCTTTTTGCCACGCATGTAGCCCATACAGTATACTCCTTTTTTAGTGAAGCTGACAGTTACACTAAGAAGCATTGAACTGACTAATTTCCTGTTTTCTCTGAACTGTGGGAACATCAGGATATTGAAAACCATAGTCTGAAATGGGTTTAGCATCCTTGCTTCTTTCAAGGCTGGTGGCCATCGTTTGCTGGTTTAGATAAAATGGGAACCTGTTGTTAATTGCCAGCTTCCTTATTTGATTAAAAGGGACGTGGTGGCGCTGCGGGCTAAACCGCAGAAGCCTGTGCTGCAGGGTCAGAAGACCAGCAGTCATGAGATCGAATCCACGCGACGGAGTGCACCCCCGTTGCTTGTCCCAGCTCCCGCCAACCTAGCGGTTCGAAAGCATGCAAATGCAAGTAGATAAATAGGGACCACCTCAGTGGGAAGGTAACAGCGTTCCGTGTCTAAGTCACACTGGCCATGTGACCACGGAAGATTGTCTTCAGACAAAATGCTGGCTCTATGGCTTGGAAACGGGGATGAGCACTGCTCCCTAGAGTTGAACATGACTGGACAAAAATTATCAAGGGGAACCTTTACCTTATTTGATTGCTTGTACTGTAAGAGAGTTTGTGTGTGAGCAAAAGGCTCAGTCATATTACCCTGGAATATATTCTTTCAAACTGGAACAGTATGCATCAGTGCTGTGTGGACTTCTAACTTTGTATAGAATTGCAGGTTTAAATCCAATATTCATCTGTTTTAAAGGTGACCCAGTAAATCGGCTGAACATTCATAAATGTTAATTTATGAAGATCCCATTTATTCAAGTGGGTCTAACATGTTTGGTTTTACTGGTCAGTCCCGTCTCTCATCCAAAATTCAATCACTTCATGTTGTTGGTTTTGTTTGTTTGTTTGTTTTGCCACATAACAGATGGTGGGAACAATCAACCCACTATCAAGTATGAGATAGAAACAAACAAGAAAATAAAGCACAAAATGAAGGCAGTATGGTATACCCTGTTTTCCCAAAAATAAGACCTAACCTGAAATGATGCCCTAGTATTTTTCAGGATGCTCGTAATATAAGCCCTACCCAAAAAAATAAGCCCTAGTTAAGTGAAACCCTGCCCTCCACCATTGTGCAGCAACCAGAAGATGACATAACTATAAAATAAAACTTCCCCTGAAAATAAGCCCTAATGCATTTTTGGAGCAAAGACCCTGTCTTTTTTGGAGGGAAAACCTGTTAGTTTTAGTTACATTTGCTTCTTGATGTAAAATCACAGGTTGTCTACGTCTGGCTGATTATCTAGCGGGAATTAAAAAAGACTTTGAAAGAGCTGCTGAAGTGCTGAAGGAGAATTGTGAAAATAATCTGCACAGTGAGAGCTGTTACAAACTTGGGACTTACTACATTCATGGAAAAGGTGAGGAAGAGCTTGTGTATATGAAACAGTTCAAGCATTTAGAAAAAGCACTGTGTTGAGAGGTCTCAAGCTTGCAGGATTTACTTTGTCTTTTATTAGAGTCCTGTTTAGATAAATGTGTAGAATTAAAGAATTCTGAGTACTAGAATTGAACAGAGCTCAGTTTCTCCATATAAATACCTTCTATGTCAGGGATTCCCAACTGCTGGTCCGTGGCCCGGTGCTGGTCCGTGGGCTTCCTTGAACTGGGCCGTGGACACGGATCTCCGCCCCCCCCGCATGCACACACGGTGGGCGTGTTGTGCTTGTGGAGGGGCATGTCGTGCATGCGTGCGAGTGCATCATGCCCCTCCACAAGTGCAACACTCCCCTCCAGAAACACAGCACACCCACCCGTGAGCGCAGCAAACCCACCCATGAGCATGGGTTGGCCCCACCCCCCGTGCATGGAGCCCGCAACCACCAACCAGTCCGTGGTCCCAAAAAGGTTGGCAACCGCTGTTCTATGTAACATAAACTCAGTTTATTTTAGCAGTATAGTCTAGAATGTGCATTTTGTTGGTGCTGTTGCTGAACACCTGGAAATGAGAAATCTTTGCCAGAACTTGATTGCAAATCATTCAGAAATCTTAATAGATCATATTACATCTTTTGCCAATGCTTGGTTTGAGTACTGCCATATTCTTCCTTTCAGGTGGGCTCCCAGCAGATCTTAAAAGTGCCTGCAGGTGCTTTTTAAAGTCTTGTGAGAAAGGTGGAAAGAAATCCTTGAATGCTTGTCATTTTGCTGCCGAGCTGCTACAGAGCGGTGAAGGAAGTGATGATGGGAAGCCGAATGTACCCCTAGCCAGAGACTATTACAGTAAAGCTTGTGATGCAGGATTTGTCTCCAGCTGTTTTAGCATTAGTACAATATACCTTAAAGGTGCTCCTGGAATACAAAAGGATATGAACCAGGCATTGAATTATTCCACAAAAGCATGTGACATGGGTCATGTGTGGGCTTGTGCTAATGCTAGCCGAATGTACAAACTAGGAGATGGAGTTGAAAAGAATGACACCAAGGCAGAAGCCCTAAAGAACAAGGCAAAAGAACTGCACAAGGAACAAAACACAGCTTCAGTGTCCTTAACATTTGGAGAGTGAGCCAAGTTAAATGATCTACAGCTTTCTCACAAATACTATGAAAGGGTACAGAACCTGGTCTGAAGATCGGTAGGACTTCAAAAGATGCATTCGTTTGATCAAATATCTCTTTTAACATATACAAATTATTATTTTGTAATACAATAAAAATCACATGTTTAGGATGTTGCTTTATTGAGGGTAAATTTAGCAAATGCAAAAGACAAAGTGCAGTGATCACAACTAATATATAAACAGCTGTCTGGTGGAACATAATTCTTGAGTAGAGTAAAAACAGAATGAAATACCCAAATTTTGTGAATGATCCAGAAATATATGGAAATCAGTTGACTCTTCTGTCTTGAAGGCATCTGTCTATCACAGCAAGCCTCTTTATTAACTGTTCAGAATGCAGAAAATGTACTGTTTAGGAAAAGAAGCAAAAGACATTTGACTGGGACAGAGTAATGAAAATCAACAGAGCTTGCTTCTGAGTAGGCACACAGAGAATCACACTGAAGGTATCCATATGATCATAAAATTGCAGTGTTGGGTCCAGCCTCCTGCCTATGCAGGAATACACAACTATCTAAGCCTCCCTCACAGATGGATGAGCATACTATCAGAAATCCAATTTTGTTAGCTCAAAAAGCAGATGGTGTTTCCAGAAAAAGCTCATACCAGTGGTACTCAGAGGGAGAAAATAAACCCTGCTTTCAATTATGTGTTTAAAAAAAAGACAAGACATACAAGAGGAAGGGATAGTGAGGGGTGGGGATGATAATCAGTTGGTTCCGGGGTAGTTGTAGCAACTGGTGGCTGTGCTTACCTTTCTTTATGGTGATCTTGTCTGGGAAGAAACACTACAACTGATGTTGCAGCCATTGTTGTCCTTGCTGGTAAGAGAATCCAAAATGTTTCCCTTCAGCTTTGCAGGGGAAAGCAGAAGTGAAGCCACGTCCTCAACCGAAGTCAGACATCTCATGACAACTGGCCAATAGGGAGGGAAATCAGTCCCTTGTACATTTTCCCATGAAAATTGAAGCTGTCTTTAAAAAGAAGACTGTCTTCTCATAGCCGTAGAGCAAGATACATGGCTATTCCATTTGTGATTGTAGAAATACAGCCAGCCAACAGTGATCTGATTATGCTTTTGTTTGCGTCAGGAGATTTGGGAATGTTTCAATCAGATTTGTCAAAACCATGTCATGAACAATTTTGTTTGTGTATTTTCCACAGATGACTGCGAATTATATTCTGCTTTCTTGATGGGTGTCCAGTACTTAGTACATAATTGTGTATGTCCTTTTACATCAGTGATCTGTTAAGTAGGAGAATTCTAACAGTGAACTATACACAGCTGTTGTTGTTGCTTAGTCGTTAAGTGGTGTCTGACTCTTTGTGACCCCATGGACCAGAGCACACCAGGCCCTCCGATTTTCCACTGCCTGCCGGGGTTTGGTCAAATTTATGTTGGTAGCCTCGATGACACTGTCCAACCATCTCATCCTCTGTGGTTCCCTTCTCCTCTTGCCTTCACACTTGCCCAACATCCGGGTCTTTTCCAAGGAGTCTTCTCTTCTCATGAGCTTGCCAAAGTATTGGAGCCTCAGCTTCAGGATCTGTTCTTCCACTGAGCATTCAAGGTTGATTTCCTTCAGAATGGATGGGGTTGTTCTCCTTTCTGTCCAGGGGACTCTCAAGAGTCTCCTCCAGCACCACAATTCAAACGCATCAATTATTCGGTGGTCAGCCTTCTTTATGGTCCAGCTCTCAGTTCCATACATCACTACTGGAAAAACCATAGCTTTGACTGTGGACCTTTGTGATGTCTCTGCTTTTTAAGATGTTTTCTAGGTTTGTCATCCCTTTCCTCCCAAGAAGCAGGGGTCTTTTAATTTTGTGGCTGCTGTCATCATCTGCAGTGATCATGGAGCCCAGAAAACTGTGAATGGAAGAATACTGTGAACTAAATCTGCTGGTGCTGCTGTACTAGTGCAACCAGAACCTTTTTCTCCTTGCTTCTGCTGTCCTAGAAGCTGCCCAAAACCCAACTCCACAGGATTTGCTGGCCTTCTACAGCAGTTTTTTGGGAAGCACAGTGGACTGCAATGGGATGAAAAGTGCACTTGTTCTGGCAGCAGAGGTTGAACACTGGATTCTGGCCTGAATATAGCAGAAATAAAAGCAGAAGAGAATATTAAAAGGAAGGCATTAAGCAACTTAATATCATCCCAAGATAAACGTGGGGTGATATTAAAGCAAAGCATATCAATACATGTTAGGAATGGTCAAATTACATTCCCTCCAATCATACAAACAATGAGAGAAGCACATGTTATAACTGATGTACCTAATATGTATTGTGAGTCTTACGGATACATCTGCTAAAAAGCAGAATATAAAAGTTTAGATTCCAATTTCAAATATTAGCAGTGGTAGTAATTATTATTGCTACAAATGATCTCCTCTTTTTCATATTTGAAATCAACCTCTGGAAGGGAAATAAAATGTTACCGAAAGGCCTGCTATCCAGAAACATATTAAAGTGTTTAATGCAATATGAATTTTAAATCCTCCCAGTGACAGGGAAAAAACAAAAGGAACTATATATTATAAGTCTATTGTGAAGAAACTCATAACATTAATCAGCCAAAATTTGATATTACAGTATATCTCAATTTGCTATTATACATTTAATTGACTGAGACTGTAAGCCTGTATTCTCTGACCCAGGAATAAGTCCCAGTGAATTTGAAAGGAATTATATCTTGAGTAGCCACTTTGAAATCCAGAAATACAAGCTGGATTTCGAAGGGGCAGAGGAACTAGAGACCAAATTGCTAAAATGCGCTGGATCATGGAGAAAGCCAGTGAGTTCCGGAAAAACATCTATTTCTGCTTCATTGATTACGCAAAAGCCTTTGACTGTGTGGACCACAGCAAACTATGGCAAGTTCTTAAAGAAATGGGAGTGCCTGACCACCTTATCTATCTCCTGAGAAATCTATACAGTGCTGCCTCGCTTAGCGATTGCCTCGTTTAACGATGTATTCGCTTAGCGATGAGGTTTTTGGAGTGATTTTGCACTCCGTTTAACTATGTTGCCTATGGGGAAAATTCGCATAGCAATGTTGGGGACCTTGCCTCGCTTAGTGATGACAGTTTTAGGTCCCCTGTTTCGCTTAGCGATGTTCCATTTTTGCTATTTTTAAAGTGTCTTAAAAGGTTCAAAAACGGTTTTAAATGCTTGGATTCATTAGCGCACCTTGTAAACGTGTGCAAACTTAATTTGGCTTTAATCTGACTCTCTGTTAATTTTTGGTGAATTTTTTCTCCCCCATTGGAAAGCATTAAAGTGCCCGTTTGACAGCTGTCAAACGGGCCCTTCAATGCTTTCCAATGGGGGAGAAAAAATTCACCAAAAATTAACGAAGAGTCAGATCAAAGCCAAATTAAGTTTGCACACGTTTACAAGCTGCGCTAATGAATCCAAGCATTTAAAACTGTTTTTGAACCTTTTAAGACACACTTAAAATTGCAAAAACGGACCTGTCAAAAGCTATTTTTAAGTGTGTCTTAAAAGGTTCAAAAACGGTTTTAAATGCTTGGGATCGTTAAAGCACCTTCTAAAGCACCTTAGGACCAACCCCCCTTTTCTACACAGACCCTCCAACGGCTCCTATTGGTCTACAGGGACGCAGGCCGGCCCTACCCTTCAGGAGCCAATCCTCAGGCCTCCCTAGGGTCACGGGGGTCCCCCAACTCTAGGTAAACCTATAGGTCCACAGGGACCTCCATAAACTCTGACGTCACCCTCAACCTGCGGAAGGGGCCGGGGACGATCTTTGACCAGATGTCCCACCTTACGGGGGCGGGGCACCTGTCAAAATTGTGATTTGATGGATGCTATGCTATACATACTACTTGCCTCCTCTTGTGCTTCATACTCAAACTGCTTTTTGTTCTCCTTTTTCTAACTTGTTCTGTCTCAAAGTTTGGTAATACAGTGGTGCCTCGCACAACGAGCGCACCGTAGAGCGATGAATTCGCTCTACGAGGACGTTTTTTCGATCGCTAATGCGATCGCAGAGCGATGGCCTCTATGGCCGAAAATCGCAGAGCGAAGGTCGGTAAGCGGTTCGCTTACCGACCTTCGCTTTGCGACCCGCCGAACAGCTGTTCCGCGGCAACAAAATGGCCTCTGGAAGCCGCAAAATGGCTGCGCGCAGCGTTTTCATGCCCTCGTTAAGCGAGGGGAGGGTGCGAAAATGGCTGCCGGCCATTGGAAAAGCATCGCTGTACAGTGAGTAAAGCTGCTATTGGAACGCATTAAACTAAGTTTAATGCATTCCAATGGCTTTTTCCTTCCCGTACAGCGATGCTTTCACACAGCGAGGCACCACTGTATTTCTAGCTCCTTTGTAATCTCAGTAGCATCCATCAAAACCTGTTGAAAACCTGCATCACACCTACAGACCTTAAGGTAATTCTTAGTCACTTGCAATTGGCTTGTAGCTGAATTTAAAGCATTTTCCTTATTTTGTAACAGCTTGCTTGTAAGATTAATTTCAGAAAGAATGTTGTACCATGCAACAAGGGATACGAAAAATTTGAACTTACAAATTGTATCAGCAAGGGCCTTAGCTTCAATTCGAGAACTATTTCCAGATAAATTATTTAGGCTTGTGTCATCAAAGATCTCTATTTTAAAGCATCATATATACTACCAAGATGATATCTCAGGGGTTTTAAGGCATCCAGCTCTCCCATCCCATTTGACTCAGTGGCTTAACAGTTACGACTGATACATGGCTAGTTAGAATTTGCCAACACTGAGACGATGCAGAGAAATAATTATAGATCTGTTGAATCAAATTGAAGAAACTTTTTGCTTCCAGACAACATTTAGCGGCATCATTGACTACTAAGTTTAAAGAGTGTGCATTTCAGGGCACAAAAAAGGCATGTGGATTTACGTCTAGGAGTCTCTTTTGTACGCCATTTTATTTGCCTTTCATGTTACTCCCATTGTCATAACCTTGACCACGCAGATCCTCAGTTGGTAATCCCATTTGCTCAAGGTGTCCAAGAAGAGTTTCTGTCATAAAGAAACAAATCCCAAGAAATGTTCTTTTATCACAACCTCAGGTTTGGACATCTCAGTATTTGATGGTTTGATCACACTGACAAAACATACAATTATTGTCATTTGTTCAGTATGACTAACATCAGGTGTGCAATCCAGAATAACTGAATAGTATTTGCAGGGCTTGAAAATTTTTATAATATCTCACCACACAGTAAAAAATTTCAGCAGTCAGCATGACCAGACTATTGCCTTGCAATTTAAATTTAAACTAGGCACTTGTTCACTTTTATTTCTCCATAACAATGCGTAGAAACCCAAAATAAATATACCCTCAGACTTGGGTTGCTTTATTACCTGTGTGCCTGTGGGGTCATGAAGCTTGAATTTTGAATGCTTTTCTTTTGAATGTGTTCAGCAAAAATAAAACAAAGCAAAAGTGTCCGGCCTCTTAACCCATATTTTCCAGCATGGGACTATTCTACATTCTCCTGCAGAGCTATATATCTATGTGCCACTCGAACTCTCTTCTAGTGAGAAGAGAGCTGTTTTCCTTTTGCAATGGGAGGGGGGAAGGGGAGGACTGCAGGATCAGAGAGAGAGAGAAAGAGAGAGAGACAGGGGGAATGTAAGGAGGCAAGGAGCTGTGGCTTATCAAGCAGCGTTTTTTCACTCATCACAGACAAGTGGACAAGTACATTTTTCAAGCCCTGAATATTTGACTGAGTTTATATCTGCTAAAACTTTATGCTTTATAGCACCTCCTAGAAGTTGTATAAGTTCATTTTGGATATCTTTTCCTAAGTAGTGAACCATTGTTTCTTAATATTTAGTTCTGCACAAATGTTCATTCATGATAGGATCAAAAAGGGCTAAATATTCTACAAATTTCAAAAAAAATCCATTGTTAGCACTATACAACTTTTCAGTAGTACCACAGAATGCCAAGTTCTGCATGTGGTTCAAGAGAGAAATATTTGGAGCTATTCCAATGAGGCCTTCAGCATCTGTTTATCAGGCTGAAGAACTGCTAGATTCTCTGCAAGATTGTACCTTTCGTGATCCTTCAATTTGTTTGTCTCTAGATTTAATTCATCATTCATCATAGTGACAATGGTTGACAAGGTAAATTAGTTTTGTTCTTTCTCTCACTTTTTCTCTTACTGTGGTATCACCAATG